TTCTGCTGTGCATAAGGTCGCTATGGGTTGGTACTGACTCAATGGCACCTAACAACAATAACTTGATTGTCTAAGGATTTCTGGTAGCATAGTGGTTACGAGTCGAGCTGCTAACCTCAAAGTCAGCAGTTCAAAGCTACCAGCCATTTTGTGGGAGAAAAATGAGCCTTTCTGTTCCTGTAAAGACTTATAGCCTCAGAAACCTTTGCAGGGTCACAATGAGTCAGAACGCACTCCACGGCACACCACCACTACCACCACTTGGTTGGCTATATTTAAATGATCTCTTGGTTTCCTTATAAAGTACCTTAGCGGTGGGAGCAGCGTCAGTGACTGCTAGTGAGTGTTTACATTGTGCAGAACATTATATGAAATGGATTGTATACAATATTACATTTAGTCCTCACAATTTTCTAATGTGTGTGTGGTTTATACTAATATTACAAGTGGGAAACAACATCAAGTGGTTAAGGGATTTGCTTAAGACAGAGCAAGTGAGCAGGAAAAAAACCCAAAAAACTACTTTTATTCATTAGCTAATTGTCTTCCAAATGTTAATAGAAACCAGCTTTTAGAATGTGATGCAAATGATATGTTTTGCTATTTTTTTCTACTTTTTTCATGCACAGGAATTCAACCTTATTGATAGAAGAGAACTTGCACCACTCCAAGAACTGATTGAAAAACTCACCTCAAAGGACAGATAAAAGGATGCAGAACTTTGCAAATTTTTCCTCAAATGGAGCTGTGTGGAATATATTTGGGTTTTTGTTGTATTTTAATGTTCTTATTTGGGCTGTTTTTGTGTTAGATTTGAAGGGTTTCTTTGTGTTCTTTTCTCTGTATTCTGAATAAATGAAATCATATTCTATTGCTAGTGGTAACCAAGAACCAATGATTGGGGTATATCTTTTTTGACTTAGTTTTTATTACTTGAGTTTTTTATAATAATGTGTGTTGAAAGAAAATACTTAATGTTTGAACTGCTGATGGATGGGCTTCTGTTATGTGTCAATTGTGGCTCATTTGTGAAGTCCCCAAAAGACTTATATTTTTAAGTGCCTTGGCAGGCTCACTTCTGAGGTGTAAAGCATAGACATAGGACCGACCAGGGCTCAAAACAATATTAGAATTAATATCCAGGGCACTTACTGATGCATGGTTTAAAATATCTATGATAAAAGCCATAGTTTGCCTAAATTGGTGATCTCCAGCTTTTACTACATTGAAGAAACACAATTTATAAAGGTGTTCATGTAGAACATAAAATTATTTTTGATAGTAAAGGTAATATATTCTGTTTTACAAATGCTTAAAAGGTCTACAAGTAGTCTTTTTCCACCTCTTGAAATCGGTGACATTAAAACTTAAAACTTGAGGATGGTGGGTTGCAATATTGCATTTTCGCTCCTTTCTTAACTGCACTGAAGGTGTAGAAAATTCAGGTTATATATAGGATTGCCATCTTTGAAGCTGATGCCGGACTGTGAGGTTTCTTAGCAATTGCCAAACGAGCCATAAGTCTGAAGAATCCCCTTCTCCTCTGAAGAGGAGAGTATAGGAGTGTAAGTTTGGTTGGGATGGTTAGTTTTTGTGGGAGTAGGAGTAGGGTAAAGGTTGGGATTGAGTATGGGAATCAAGTTCACAAAAGTCCTTTCTTAAAACCCTTGAACATTTTAATCAATACTTATAAATAAAGTCTTGAAGACTTCCTTTTAGGAATAAACTTCCATGAGAAGTTAAAATAAATTAATTTTTAATTTGTTGTTAGCTGTTGCTGTTGAGTTGATTCCAACTCATGGTGACCCCATGTTTGAATAGAACTTCTCCATAGGATTTTCTAGATTGTGACCTTTCATATGCAGATCACTGGGCCTGTCTTCCAAGGTACCTCTAGGTAGATTTGAATTGCCAAACTTTGGACTAGCAGTTGAGTGTTTTAACTGTTTGCATTATGCAGCCTAACCATTAAAAATGGAATTTAAGGACCATTTGGGGACATTGATTACTTTCAGCATATCCATTCAGTGAATGGAGCTGGTGTTTACCCATCATTTTAAAATGTTACAGTGAATTGTTTATTATAGGCCCACTTTGAAGCATTTTGACTTCTGATCATTTCATTGTGAAAAGAAATCTTTTTCTCTGCCATTATATCAAACAATGATAAGCTATTTCAGTATTTATTGACTTTTAAATTTTATTTGCCCTGACTTCCTAGTGAATTATCCTCTAGTAACAAATTGAGAAATTTAATTTTTTAAAGAATATGTTAACAGTTTCACTTCAGTTTTATTCTTGAGAAATAACTCCAGTTTTAATTTTTGTCATTTCTGATAAGTCTGCTTTTTTCAATTAGAAATATCTACCTTTTTCTTTGTAAAATAGAAATGATTGCTATGAAATTACGTAGCAGTAATCTAATGTAATGCTATGACAGTTATGGTCACTAGGAACTGCCTTTTTCTCCATTTCCTTTCCAGCAATCATTAAGTACCACCAGTAGAAAGTGACAGGAGAGCTCTTACAGAGCAGATACACTGGACATTCATTGGTACTGCTCCTTCATAAATTATATTCAGAGCTAGCTGATTTCTTTAGATCTCTTAGAGTCCAGGTAGATACTCTCAGCCAGTACAGGTTGATAGGAGTCAAGTGATTTTTAGTCCTACTTACATAGGAAAATGTGTCAAATTAAACAAATGGTCTTCCATACTGCGCTTGACTTCATGTCAGTCTAGAGGGTTGCAATAGCCAAGTGTAGAGACACTAGTGAAAAACTGTTCTGTTCTTATAAGCCTTATATAATAGTACACTGTAAAAATGGAAAAAAAAATATGTCTGTGGATTAACATTTTGAAGTAGGACCTACTTTCCCACTGTATGTAGACATGTGTTTGTTTTCACTGTGCTAGAAACTCAGGTGCCTATTTCTGAGTATTCCATTAATCAGAGTTATTGGGAGTTAAGCAAATGAGGATGTGTGTATGTGTGGTAATAGTATATAGATGTTCTCAGCAGGGAGGGACCTGGCACTGTACTTGATGTTACATGGCTGCATGAAGGACAGGATACACTCAGAGCACATGGCGCATATGTTTTGGTATGGATGTTTCCCATGAGATTACTAAGATGCCTTGATTAAAATAAGGATCAAAGTTTGATTATGCAGCACAGCTTGCTTATAAGTATCTACTGGATTCTATTCAGCTCTCCTTAAGTTATAAGTACCCAAGATAATTATTTCCCCTGTTTCCTTTATATAGGAGTCCTGGTGTGGTGCTATAGGATAAGCACTGAAATGCTAACCAACAAGTCAGCGGTTCAAACCCACCAGCCACTCCTAGGAAACCCTATCCAGGGTTGCTATGAGTTGGAACCGACTCAACAACACTTTAACAGCAACAACAATTCTGTATACAAGGGAGCACAGTAACTCCATAGGATGAGAACTGGACTATAAACTACAAGGTTGGCGGTTCAAGCCCATCAGCCACTCCATGGGAGAAGGATGAGGCTTTCTGTTCCTGCAAAGATTTTAAAAGTCTCAGTAACCCTATTTAGGGTTGGTTGCTATGAGTTAGAACCAAATCAACTGCAACGTCATTCTTTATGCAGACTTATAAAGTAGAAGTTTATTTTACCTCATCCTCTGATAAAATTATCCTATAAAAAATAAAGTAATCTAACACAATATTGTCACAATTTTGGTTTAGATGTTGACAAGCAAGCTTTGGAGTCCTGGTGTGGCACTGTAAGATAAAGCACGGGACCACAAGGTTGGTTTGAACTACAAGGTTGGCGGTTCAGACTCATCAGCCGCTCCTCAGAAGCCCTATACAGGGTTGCTATGAGTCAGAACTGAGTTGATGGCACTTAACAACAAGCAAGTGTCAGGAAATTAAATGGTGGAGTACTAATGATGGAGAGAAATTAAACACAAGAAGTGTGAAATTCTTTTAGTTAACAGTAGATGGTGCTACTGGCTTTCATTTGCTAATGTGATTCTTCTGTTTCCTACTACATTGTTATTTGTTGGCTTTTCAAGGCAGTAAATCTCTACAGGAACAGAAAGTCTCATCTTTGTCCCAGGGAGTGTTGGTGGGTTTGAAATGCTGATCTAGTGGTTAGCAGTCTAGTGCTTACCCTACAGTGCCACCAGAACTTCTTTCCTATGGCATTAGACTACTAAAACAGTAAACATATTAACTGATAGAATCTATGAAGGTTAATTTACCGTAAATATTTTAGATTGCTTTCTCTTACTACCTTCCTTCTGTTATTTGTAGATTCTAAATGGTAAGCATAAAATATACTAGAAAGAAGATATATTGACTTTATATCTCAGACTGAGTTACTGCCTGGCTTAGCATAAAAGATAAAGCACTACAATTTCTTATATTCAGGAAATATAAATGATGTAGATATTTATATTTTACATATAATTACCAGAATCCGTTTTATTTACTATTTGCATTTTCCTTGCTTATGGGAAAATAGCAAAATGACAGATTTCTTTTATACTTTTGTCTGCTCCCTCTCTGAGAGAGGTTTTGGTAACTACTGAATGATAGACTATGAGGGAGCTTCAAAAATTTCATGGAAAAATTCCATTATCTTTTAATTCCATTTGTGTATAACCTTTTGAAGCTCTCTCATACATGAGATACAGTTATCAAGTTGTCAGACTTTAAAAAGAAACACATCATATCTTAGCCATCCGAATGAGAATTGATCTTCACATTTGTTCCCTTGGGTGCACTGCTTATTTCTTCAGTGAGGCAAAAGCATACATGCCTTGAGAATTGGATTATGACTATGCAACAAATACAGTTTTGCCATTTTAGTTGCCCCAGTTGTTTTTTCCAGATTAGGATGGCCTATCTTATTCACCATGATGGCTCTAATAACTTGGCTGTTTTATGAAAACTAAGTCATTAGAACAGTTCAATAGAATGTTCCATAGGCTCTGAATTTGCAAAAGAGAATTTCTGTTTTGAGCATTGGTAGCATGATTGAATAAGCGAACAATTTCCTGCCATTACTTTTAAGTAGATAATGTCATTTGGATACATAGGTTATATATTTTTAAATTTAGGTTTATTATCGTACAGTTGAATATAATAACTAAAAAAAATCAAGGTATTTCTCTAGAACCTGTTTTGTTTTTTTAATTCCAATGCTGAAAAGTTTTAAATTCACTCTTGACAACTATAGGATCGTTTTGACTGAGGGGATGATATGGAAGAATGGATCTATTATTGATTATAGTAGTTTAAATAAACAACATCCTTTACCTCCCTCATCCTTATTTCCTGTTGTTGTTTTTAAAGATCATTTTGTTCAGATGAAACATTAGGCTTTAATAAAAGACTGGAGATCTTGCATATCACAGATAAAATATGTAAAATTGTTATAACCATTTCACATATCATAACTTTAAATTTTTGAATATCTTTTGAAGACCAGAGTATATTTGTTACTTGAAAATATGACCAACAGGAAAATTACTTTGAAATTTAACTGGGATATTAAGAATACGACAGCTTTTAAAAACACCACTCTAGAACTATACTGTAAGGACCACTCCTAAGTAATTTAAATAACAGAATTTGGGCATAATATTAAGATTTACAATAGAAATTATTATTGTTCAGGGAAAGCTATATCAAGATTTAACAGAAAAACTTAAGATGTATCAAAAACTCTGACTGCAAATGATTTGAAATTTTAAGACTTTCTGGTAAATTACAGTAGGTAAAGATTTTCATCTGAAGTGTGATGTCACAGATTTGAATTTTAGAAAAGCCGTTTTAGGAGCCTTGTGGGAAATAGATCAGAAGGGTGTGAAAACTCAAAGCTGAGGAACAAGTAAGGGTCTACTGCTGTG